CTAGATTATAAATTAGATCAGTTATATTAGCATTAAGCTTTAGTTTGTTAGAAGAGTTATTTGTAAGAGGCCTAGCCCAGATTTTAGTACTATGTGTAGCTGATACATCAATAGTACATAGGTTTGCGATACGATTAGAGTTTAAGCTACAACCCAGACAGGGGTTGCAGTTGATTTGTGGATTAGGATAGTAGGCTGTATGGCTAGGATTGTAGTCAGTACTCCAGTGAGCTATTGATATAGAATTCTTCAATTAAATCTTGTGTACAAATTAGTAATTTTCACAACAGTTAGAACAAATTTCACTCATATATATGTACTATTACGTGTATATAAGAAATATATTATAGAATTAATCACACACAAATATGATTTTCTACAATAGTATATATTCGCGAAATGATCCTATTTTTACAATTTCTCCATTTTTATAGCGCGGTTATTAGTGTCTTGAACAGAAAGTTCTTTCGAATATCTCAAATGCCGTAATGCATTCCATCACTCTATAAATTACAAAATTAGCCCAAATAATCTCATGCAAAAACTGTTACGCAGTTTTAAAGAACAAAGGTACTTTACGGAATTTGATTGGCTATTACGTACTGACAATATTAATAAAAAAATGTGTAAATCATAAATGGAAATGATACGTAAATGATTTTCATAGTGGCTGAAACATGTGGCTAATAATTCATGTGATACACACGAACGCGAGGCCCGAATGATTCTATAGAATATTACTAAATGTTTCATCAATTAAAAAAAAAAAAAAAAAAGGTGAGGCCAACTTATAACATTAACTTTTAACTTGGTGCAGCATAATAGTATGTCTTAAGTCTTAAATTCGGTATAATATACTTAATATTTTATTATTAAAAAACGTTTTTTAAATCTTAAAAAGTACAAAACTTAATTGTCAGATATCTTAATAACTTAAAAGTATATACCATTAGTTTAAACATACATATAGATGGTTACTCACAAAGAATAAAAATAAAAAAAAACGAAAGCTTTCGCAAATATATTGAAAAAAGAAATAATAATATAAAAATGTATGATAAAAATAAAATGTTCGTTATATGTCAATTGCATAAATAGATATTTTAAACGATTAATCTCTATAGTATGCTTGCATATCGAAATACTCTTCAATGTCCATATTGTCATTGGTAGTTATTGAATTCTCCAAGAATTCAGTTTCGTCATTTTGTTTGTTTATTGATTCAGATTCGCCATTTTGTTTGTGCTCAAAGGAAGATGAAATATCTTCGAATGATTCTGAATTCACCGAGGATTCAGATTCGTCATTAAATTTGTTTTTGGGATTATACTTATAACTAGGATATATTTGCTTATGTAGCCTAGAGGCCTCTTTTGCCAAAAGTTTGAAAAAGTTTTTTACCTCTGCTGGTTGATTAGCCCAGTCAGACTTGGCCTCCTTTGATATATCCTCAGCTTTTAATCCTTCCGATCTAAATTCATTGCGATGTAATTTGTTAAAATTATTCCTGAATAACATGAATGAGTTCTGAGGCCTAGGCGGAGGATCTTTTAATTTTGGTTTCAGATCATCCATGGATAATACAAAAGGATACGGTGGATTTGCAATCAATCGATTAAAGTAAGTTTCATGATCATGTTGCAGAGTCGGAGATGATGAGAATAATAGGGTTTCGTGAATAAATTGGATCATTATGAATAAGGATTTATAAAATGCATAAAGATCGAAGTTGGATATATCTATATGATTAAGATTTCTCGAAGCTTTTGCAAAGTAAAAAATTATTATTATCGAATATTTTTGATTGCTATTTTTTTGTTGTTTTTTTTTTTATTTTCTCGATTGATGATAAACCCTCCTTTTATATTAAAATTTCGTTAAATCATGGCACAGTAGTGGCTAGTGGATAGTGAATAATAAAACATACGTGACTGTGTCACTTATTAGCAGTATGCTATGTTACACTATTCACATATTTAATAACGGAATTTAATTTTACCTTATGTGTACAGACTTTCCTATTTCATCATTCAGCGAGTCAAAATAAGAGTGAATAAGAGTAAACGTTCGGACCTTCATAACCATTAATTGTAAACTAATTTTTTTCTTTAAAAAATTAATGGAAATAATTTCCCGCTAACTCGACATTAAAAAAAAAATAAGGAATAGTTCCAATGCATGTAGTAAAACATTTTAATAAAACCTTTAGTATTAAGAAAAATTACTTTATTAATAAACGTTTTAGTTATAAATTACTTCTGCGTAAAGAGTAATTGGGATATAATGTTCTAATATTGACATTGCTAATAATCTTAAAATTTTATGATTTGCAGTTAATAAAACGGAAGTATAAAAATATCGATATAATATTATTAATAAAATATTACTTGTTATTATTAACTCTGAAACATCCATTCAATTCTTGAGCACATAAGATTAAAGATTGTCCATCGGCCGTTGTTGTTTAAGCTTTACATGTTTTTCCGAAAAGCCAATACTTTATGTATGTGTACATGCATAAAATCGTGTGTACACTTAAATTACAGTATGGAACCATCCTCTTATACTGATCAACTGTTTCATAAAATAAAGAGCTGCATCACATATTGTCAAATGTCAATAGATCAGTTGTCATACGTGAGAAAAACCGAGAGGAAGTGCTTACCGACCAAAAAAAACATTAATATACTATATAATACTGTAAGAAATTCAAAAAGTGTAAATCATGTGTAATTAACACATATGTTATAAATAAATTTTAGGAGTCCTCAATGTTATTTGAAAGTGATCGAGATGTTTCTTAATTATTGTAATTAATAGAAGTGATTATTAAAGTGTCCTCGTAAAGATATACTGAAAATTCATTGCGCGAAATTCGGAGTTTAAAATTTATCCGTGTAACTTTTTTAAAAAAAAGATGGCATCAAATGATAACTTACTTGATCAGTTTATTCAAATTCCGACTGTTAAAATTTTTGCCACATTTCTAATAGGTGAGGCACTTGAAAACTCTTACACTACGTGATACATTTTATTAACGGTAACAGCATTCAAGGGTACACCAATCATGTATTTTACCGTTATTTTAGACTTTAACTTAAAAACTCGGACGTTTAAAAATACTCAAAACTTTCATTACAAGTATATATTGTCAATTATTTCCCTTTTAGTATTAGATAATACATACAAATTACAAATTTTACCATTTTTACTTTATCATTTTCACATTTATCGAATTGAGTTTCATCGGCTATTGAGAGATGTACAGAAAAACATGAAATGGCCAAAATGTGACAAAGATTATTTAAAATTACGGAAGTAGGAATTCAAAAGTTCACCGAACCACACAATTGCGCATATATTCAAATTAAATATTATTGTTAATATATACATATTTTAACATCTCTACATTTACAAATCAATATTAACTTTTCTGAACTCAAAATTCTATGTCTAATACAGTTTACGCGTATAAACCGGAGTAATATACCGGATAAATCAGGAGTGTTCGTACTAAGTACTAGTTTATTATTACTTTGACAAGATACCACATTTGCAATTAAAGGATAGTAGCATTTATAATTGAAACTGTACATTGTGTGAAAACTCTATTATTAATGGAATTATTCATTCCTTCTTCGACATATGACTTTATTTTTTTTTTTTTTAAATCATTAAAATAGTCACACTTATAATAGTATGTATTTAAACTGTCCGACTACTGATTAATTGTTTACATTTTTATAAGACAAAAAGTTTGCTTCCGGAGATACAGGACAAACGTTACTTTCAGATATTCGAACCAAATACTGTAATATATAAGGCAAGTGCTGCTTTCGGATATGCGAACCAAATATATAAGACAAGAAATTTTCTTAAAAAAGCTTTACGATAAAATAGGAAATATCTATTATCTTAATTTTAATGATGCACTGGTAGAAAAGATTTGCTATTTATCGAGATTAAATATGATAAATATTTTTATTAACTACTGTAGTAATTATGTAATCATATTTATTAAAAATATTCATCGATAATAAGTAAATCTTTCCTACCAGTCAGCGTGTTATGCGGAGATACGTATTAAAATGCACCCTATTATTATTACAAGATAAAGAAGATAAGTTATACGAACTGCAAATGTTAAAGGAGACTTATTTTATATTTTCCGTAATTTGGCGTTCCAGATATATTTTAAATATATATTCCATATTAAAAGAATTTTTTTCTTTTTTTGTAAATTTGGAATTGTAAATAATAAACTCATATGCAGTCTTTAATCTTATCTCTATACATTAAAAAATATCTTTGGGGTTAGCATATACCTTACACATTACAAAGTACTGAATCTAAACTATTTTAAACAAACCAGTTTTCTCATTTATACTATAACATATTTTACTGTTCTCCGAAAAAAGTATTGTTGAAAATCGAGATAACGTTTACTAACCCTATGACTTTAAAAGAAAACCTAGAATGACGCCAATTTTATTATCTTTCTTTAGCTCTCATTCTAAACATTTCTCTTTTTACATTACTGTATTTAGACATATTGTCAATTAAATTGAGTCTTTAAAAGTATACATCGATAGGGTATCTCATACGTATATTAAAAGAAAGTTTTTTACATATGCTGAATTTTCGAATGTGTAAACTTTTCGAGACATGGTATAATTGTATCGTGATTATGTAATAAAAGATTTAAGTCCTTGGTAAATCTCACAAAAATCTATTTAAATTATGATTTCTGCCTAATTGGTTCTCGTGACTTATAACATTTTCAAAAAATCAAATAAAATTTTTTTTCAAATTTGTCAAAATAAGCTCTTTTAATATGAGACACCCCACATATATGGGGGTGTGTCAATAGAAATCAAGCAAATTGTTTTTATTGAAATTTTTTTGAACTTTCAAACAATATTAACTCAACAAAAACTTAATCAAATTTTATAAAAATTTTTTTAAATGAATTCTACAAATTTGTAGAATTTATTTAAAAAATTTTTTATTAAATTTGATTGAGTTTTTGTCAAGTTATTGTAGTTTAAAGTTTTAAAAAAATTAGAAAAAATTTGCTTGATTTCTATTGACACACCCCCATATATCTAATATATGAGCAGTTGTTAATAGAAATAAAGCCAAATAACATTTCAAAAAAAAAAAAAAATCCATTATCAACTTTCACAACCTATATCTCGCTATCTTGATCATTTAAAAGTGAAAAGAAAGTTTGTATCTTCAACATTAAATTATTAAAATTCATTGAGATATATGTTATTTTAAATAATTATTTCGACAAAAAATTAATGTTCTAAAATTAATTTATCAATATGCATTAAATATAATTATTTCTGTTAGTTCATGTAGTGAGATCGAATTCGATCCGTAATCCGCCAATTCGGATTAGATATCCTTATCCTTTAATTTTAAACGGATTGATCCGTAATATACAAGTCATTCTCTTTATAGTCAAGCTATCCGTTCTATTAATAAAACTTTTCTAATATCGAAAGCTCTATTAGTAAATTCACAATATCGAGAGAATTTTATATAGATTGGTTTTGAGAAAAACTTTAATATATCGAGATTGAAAGTTTACTATAACGAGAGTAACTTGTATACTGTATAAATTTGCATCGCTTTAGCCAACCTCCAATTAAGTAAGGTATACAGCATAAATAAAATTTGATTTTCAGATGAATCCAAATTTACTAATCAAATCCGAATTCTAATTATCAACCGGATAGGTAAAAGAGGATCCGAATTTAATTTGAATAGCTTCTGACAAATAGGATCGAAACACTACGCATAACCATGCCCAACTCGAACAATTAAGTGGCCAAGACCATGCGGAAGAAAAAAAAAAAAAAAGAAAGGCGTGAAAAAGAAAAATCCCAAAAAAGGTAAGCGATGAAAAAAAAAATTAGTTTTGCAATTATAAAAGCAGGAATCAAATAAAGAAAAAGAACACTTAACTTTCGCGTGCCTCAAAGAATTGATAAGGCCAAAAACTTCCTTGAACATAAAAAAAAGAAAAAAATTCTTTATACTCACCAAATCGGACCGAAAGCTCTCTTGAATCATAAAAAAAAGAAAAATATCTATACTCGCCAAATCGGACGCTAAGCTCCCTTAAATCATTAAAAAACAAACAAAATTTTCTCTACACTCGCTCTTGAGTTATAAAAAAAAGAAAAATTACTTTATATTCGCCAAATCGGGCCTTAAATCATAAAAATGATTTTTTTTTTTTTTTAAAAAAAAAAAAAAACTCTAAACTACAATAGTCAAATCATCCCACGTCTCAAAATTTTCCAGTCACAACATTCGTACGTTTAAATTAAGCCTTATGTTATCTTTAAATACGGCGAGTCAGTCGCTCAAACTTATGGATCTTCGTGCAACATACTAGGATAACTTATCGAATGAGGCGTTTAGATTTGGCAAATGGAATTCCAAGGCTTCGGTTATCGCTTGTGTCACGTTACTTCTTTCTTATCGCCAAGTTCGTTGAGTTTCTTAACTTCCTTAATCTACTAACTTTGACTTATCCTCTCTCTTAGGATAATCAACAATTCGATTTTCGGCAAGTTCTCTCTTTACTCAACTAACGATTCGGGTTTACTCTTTACCAAAGAGTAATAATTTGGTAGCGTAACGTTATCACAACAATTAGTTTATTAACTTTAGCG